TGCACTTAGAGTCGGGCTTTCCTGAGAGTGCTGAGGGGAAAAGATGGGGTGTTTTTCTAACTCAGAGACTGAGTGACTATGGATTTGGCTAACCAGACATTGATGTTTCTTTGCCCTAGCTGCCAGCTATGAGGGCAGCTGCTTTCCTTGTTACCCGCTGCCCTTTTGCCTCTTCCCCCTGCATGTGCCTGCGGGTCCAGTCGCTCGCTGTCCTGTGTCCGCAGCCTGGTCGGGAGGACCCTCACAGACCCTGCCTGGGGTTTGCTTAGGCTTTGCTCTACAAGCCCGGTGTGAGACAAAGCTTCACCCTGAATTAACATTTTCCTTATGAAAATGTGTATCTAATTGGTTCTTCCAGCTAACTGAAGTGAAGGCTGGGTGGTGTCTGTTTAATAAAGTCTGTAATCATATGGAGATTGAAGGGGGGCATATTTATACTGTCCTGTATCCTGGAGCATTAGTTCAGTATTTCTGTGGGCATTTGATGCTGACCTGGAGTTTTATAAGAGACTTTATGCCATCAGTAGGTGACTAGAAACTGTCATGAACACGTTTCCATATTGAAGTTTTCTTGGACTCTAGTGGATATCTGAATACCTTACTGTAATTTGCACCCACAAAAAATGAAACTGAGCTTTACCAGTGTTTGTCTGGACTGCCCAGTACAAAGAGCCTAACTTAACCAGGTGTATATTTAGAACTTCAGTGTATGATATTTTTTCTTTCTTTCTTGGAAACAGCACTTCTCCAAAGAAACCTTTATGCCAAGTTATATTCAAACACATTGACATTTCAGGAGGAAAACAAACTGAAAACATCTGTAGATAGTTGAGGCGTTCTGTATGTTGTCCCTCACTTTGCCACAGCTGCATCCTTCAGAAGATTGTTGTGGTGGCATTTCATGGGCTGAGGTGTAGGAAGCACCTTTGGCACATTTCTTGGCTGACTACAGACTTCTGACTTTCTTGTGTATAGCACAGTCTTAATGCTTTTTTAATAAAGGTTTTGTGTGTGGGAGAGTTGATTTTTATCCTACAGTATCGTAGTGTCATAACGTGTAATTAGGCAAGCTATAATTAAACCGTTACTTAGTTACATAGTTTAGGATGATTGACTTATCTTTGGATTGAGGCTATTTCTTTCATGTGATTTCCACATCTCTGATTTCTTGTTCTTCAAAATATGATTAAAGACTCAGCAGACCTACACAGCTAATGACATAGTGGGAAGTTCAATATTTTTAATGACTTGGATGGTAGGCTTTATGCCTCTATGTTTGTTTACTCAGTAAAAATGTTATTTAATAATCTATGCTAATGAAGTATAACAAAAATGAAACCACAAAATAGAGCATCTGTGGCAAAGCTGAAGCTTGGCTGTCTAGGACGTTGCAGCTAAAGGGTGTGTTCCCAGGCTGTCATTTGTGCAGGAACTGGAGCTGCTGGGATCTGTAACAGACTGTAGTGGGAGCACTGGCTCTGACTGGGAGCTGGGTATGAGCGTTTGGGGGGTGTGGGGGGTGTGCCCTGTTCAAAGGATTGTCCTTGTTCCTGTCCAGTCAGCTGTAGCAGAGGAATTCCCGGGCTGGTTTGGATCCAGCACTTGAATACCACATTCCACTTTGGTTACAGCAGAAGACACGAGGGATCCTCGGGACACTGGTGGTGCCCGTATCAGAAATGGAAACGTGGGAGATGAGTGGTGGAGGTAGGGAAGGCCAGCAGTGAGGGCTTGTGAGGAGGGAGTGGGGAAATGTGGTGTTGAGGAGAGAGTGATGTGCAGGGTGTGTGCTGGGAGGAGCTGATGGTGTGTCAGAGGTGACAGCTGGATTCTGACCTGGGGTGATGCTCCATTTGCCATCAGACAGCTGGAGCTCTTTGCAGTGACCTGTTCGGCCGGAGACCGGGAGAGGCACAGAGAGAAGTCAGCAGCACCACTGTTAGATGGACAGTCTGACAGTGAATGCCGCTTCACTGCTTTTTTTTTTTTTTTTTTTTTTTTTTTTAAAAAAGCAGATGTGCCGTAGCCTGTGTTTGTGCATATGTGTTCTGTAAAACATACATATTGACGTCAGCTTCCATCCTTTGCATGCACAATTTCTAGGTGCTTGCTACTGCCTGGTGAAAATACTTGTGTGAACTCTTTGACTAAATGTTGGTTTTGGCAAGAGATTTCTGCAGTAATGATGACCTTAAAAATTGGTTTACATTTTTTTGAGTTTTTTTAAAATTTATATTTCCCTGTGAACAATGGTGTAAGTAGAAGTAAGGAGGATTTAAATTTAAGACCAAATATCTGTTCTGCTATAAGACTATGTAATGCTTTCTTAAAATCAACAGCATATGTTTTTCATCTCCTTTAAAACCATTTCTATCTCCTTGCCATAGCAATAACATTTAGGGCTTTACACAGTGCTTTATCTTTCAAAAAATACTTTACAGATAGTAATTAATTGTTTTCTGAGGCTGAAAAAGCCACCCAGTGCAGAATGTGGGCAGGAGCAATGGGGACAGCCAGGCCAAGAGAGCAGAGTGGGCCTTGCTACTCCTCATTAATTCATGTTGTAAAGACTCCTGTCAGAGCTGCAGCTACCTTTCATTGTCCTTCCATCCTGACAGCTCATATCTTGAGGAGTCCACCCTGCATTTTTCTTAACAAATCTCTGACAGAGCACCATGAAGTTTTGCCTTGTGTGTACTTTTAGGCCCTCTGAGGTTTTCACTGGAAAACAGCTGATACAGCTATATTCTCTTAGTGTGCCTCAGATGATGAGTGATTAGCATTTGTGTGGTACCTTCCAAAGAGTGATCTTGAGGAGTTAAATAAGGTTGGCATTTCCTCATTTTGCAGATGTATATAAAAATTAAAGCTCAGAGAAGAGAAAACTGGAAATAGCATACTGGTCTCCTGACAAATGACTTCTCCTTAAGTGAATGAATGAAGATTGCCTTAATATGGAAAGCAGAAATGCTTTGAATTATGAAAAAGAACAAGATGACAGGATGTACAAGGTGCAATGTATTTCAGATCCTATGCTTAAGTCAGAGGAAAGGAAGAGCAGATATCCATGCACATAAAATTGGGCTCACAGCAGGAGAGTGCACACACCTGGGAATTTATGTAGAGAAACAACTGCTGCCATTGTTACTTAATTTCATTAGCAGATTGATTAGCAACGTCCAGGTAAGCTGAGTACCAACAGTAAAAAAATACTGCCAGCCCGCACCCATCACCATTACTCCATGTGCTTTCGTAGACCTTTGTTATTTTTTTCCAGCAGAGGAACTGGCAGAAATCTCTGCTTGAATCCCAGTTGTGTCACCAAACCTGTTACTGTATGTTCCTGCACTGTAGGAGCATTCGGACACTTCTTCCCAGGGCTTCTTTTGCTGGCATGTCAAAATCTGGGCTGCTGCTGTTAGAGATTTCCCTCCCCTCAAGCTGTCGATTGTGGGCAGAGCTTTAGTGTTGTGCTCCTCTGCCTTTGGTATGGGCTGAGATCATCCCGTGTGCCCTGGGCTCCTGCAGCCCTCGGAGCTTCGGCAGCAGGTGCCTGGGCTGCGGCTTTGCCAAGTTCAAGTGCACTTGGTGCGAGTCTTGGCCCATCCTGTCCAAGGAGAATAGGATGTCACTGCCAGGGATCCCTCCCGCAGGGGCTTGGGTTTGAAAAATCCTATAGGAAAGAGAAGAAGGTGTGAAGTAAGGGGGTGAAAGGCTGATCAAATCGGGATAGAAGATTCATGTTCAGATGTCTACAGAATTTTTTTCTTAACATGGTATGAGGTTTTTGTAGAGCAAGGTTTGCTACAGTTTCAGGAAATGGTATTGGCATGGAAATATTTTTTTTTTTTTAAATATTGCTTTTTATTTAAAGGGTTTTTTTTTACCTTCCAGAAACAGAAACTTGATTAGTAGATGAATATGATGATTATTTCCTGAGAGGTCAAACGGACTCAGCTGAGACGATAATTTTTTAAATTGTCTTAGTCAGATAAGAATAATCAGTCCATGTCGTTGCGTCTTTGCTGTCTTTCACTGCACAACTTAGTGAAGGATTGGACTTTGTATGGGGCGTTTTGCAAAGTAGGCACACAGATCTGGCTGAAATGTTTATTCTCGTCTCCTGCCTTGTGCTGTGCAGCGTGACAGGAGCTCTGGGACGAGCTGCAGGTGTGACTCCTTACTTTCCCTGTAGTGGGTATATCAAGGAAGAGAATTCCCGTCTAGAACCTTCCCTGTGCCTGTGAAGTGCAAATGTATATGCTCTCAGCAGAAAACAAGTTTTTTTGCCAAAAAGCACACCAAGGATCATACTGAGACAAAGCAAGCAGGAAGCACGAGAATCACTGTTGCCTTGGATAGCTTTCCGGGAAGAGAGGAAATCCAGGCAGAGAATTCCTGGGTAGCAGCTACCCTGTGTCTGGGAAGTGCAAGCATATGCATTTTCAGCTGAAATGGCGTTTGTCACTGAAAAGCAACCCAAGGCTTGTGTGAGCTAAAGCAAGCAGGGAGCACGAGAGCCGCTGTTGCCCTGCATAGCTTTCTGTGCTGCGGGGAAATCCAGGCAGAGAAACCCCAGCTAGCAGCTTCCCTGTTCCTGGGAAGTGCAAATGTACGCGTTTTCGGCCGAAATCGTATTTTCTCTCCGAAAAGCACACCAAGGCTCAATCTGAGCCAAAGCAAGCATGGAGCATGAAAATTGCTGTTGCCCTGCATACCTTTCCAGGCAGCAGGAAAATTCAGGCAGAAGAATTCCTGGCTAGTAGATTCCCTGTTCCTGGGAAATGCAAACGTACATGTTTTCGCCCGAAATTGCATTTTTTCTCCGAAGAGAACATCAAGGCTGATTCTGAGACAAAGCAAGCACGGAGCATGAAATTTGCGGTTGCCCTGGATACCGCGCAGCACATCAAGACACGAATAAAGGGAGTCCAGAAAAGTTGCAAGAGAACTAAAAGAGCAGCTGGTAGGGAAATAAAGGCTAGAAAAACATGGTATCCAAATGGTTTGGGAGGCTGAAAAAAGGTGGGAGGCTGGAGGGCAGTAGGGCCAGAAAAAAATTGGAGGTCGAAGAAAGGTGGGAGGCTGAAAAGGGGTGGGAGGCCAGGGAGAGGTAGAGGCTGGATAAAAGTGGAGGCTGCAAGAGGCAGGCAGGCTTGGGGTAAATGAAAGGCAGGAAAAAGTGGAGGACAAAATGTAGTGGAAGGAGCAAAATGACTGGTAGACTGCAGGAAATTGGAGGCCTAGAGGCCACAGGACAGCTATCCGCTAGGAAAAAGGAGATGCTGGAAGGTGGTGCACGTTCTGATGGGCATTAGTGTTTGAAAAAGCCTGGGAAGTCAAAAAGGGATGAGAGGCTGTAGTGGAATTAGAGATGGTGAAATCAATAGCAAAGGAAGGGGGAGACCTACAGGCACATGTTGGAAGAAAAAGAGGGTCAGGGAGCAAGACAGAGGAAGAGAGATAATGATGAGTGGAGACTACAAAGACAGAGAGAAATCAACTGTAGGGGGAAAGGAAGGAGGGAAGGAGGGAGGGCAAGAGACGCTCAAGAGGACAGAGGGATTGAAGGGATGAGAGAGCAATAGATGGAGAAAGGGAGAGGGAATGGGATGGGCTACAAGCTGAAAGGGAAAAGGCCACGGAGCAGAAGAGAATGGCACAGGGAACTGGGCATGAGTTTAGGGAAATCAAGTTTTAAGGCGAAAAGCACACTAAGGCTCTTTCTGAGAAAAAGCAAGCACGGAGGACGAGAATCGCTGTTGCTCTGGAGATCTTTCCAGGAAGTGGGGAAATCCAGGCAAAGAATTCTCAGTCAGCAGCTTATTTGTGGCTGGGAAGTGCAAATGTACACGTTTTCGGCCGAAATCAAATTTTCTCTCTGAAAATCACACCAAGGCTCATTTTGAGGAAAGCAAGCATGGCTGATGAGAATCGATTTTGCCCTGCATAGCGTTCCGGGCAGCGGTTAAAACCAGGCAGAGAATTGCCGGCTAGCAGCTTCTCTGTGGCGGGGAAGTGCAAATGTACATGTTTTCAGCTGAAATCACGTTTTCTCGACGAAAATCACAACAAGGCTGATTGAGCCAAAACAATCCGGAAGCATAAGAATCGCTGTTGCCTTTGAATACCTTTCCAGGCAGAGAGGAAATCCAGGCAGAGAATTCCCGGCTAGCAGCTTCCCTGTTACTGGGAAGTGCATACATACACGTTTTTGGCCAAAAAAGTTTTTTTTTTTTTTTTTTTTTTTTTTTTTTTTTCTCTCCAAAAAGCGTTAGAAGGCTGATTCTGAACCAAATCAATCATGGAGCATTAAAATCGCTGTTGTCCTGGATATCTTTCCACGCAGCACATCAAGGCATGAATAAAGTGAGGCAGAAAAGGTGCAAGAGACATAAAATAGAGGCAGGCAGGAAAATAAATTATAGAGAAACGTGGTATCCAAAAAGGGGTGAGAGGTCAAAAAAAGGTGGGAGGCTGGAGGTCAGTAGAGGACAGAAAATATTTGAGGCTGAAAAAAGAGTGGCAGGCTGAAAAGGGGTGGGAGATCAGGGGGAGGTATAGTCTTGAAAAAAGTGGAGGCTGCAAGAGGGAGGGAGGGAGGCAGGCTACAAGAGGGAGTCAGGCAGGTTTGGGGTAAATGAAGGGCAGGAAAAAGAGGAGGACAAAATGTAGTGGAAGGAGCAAAATGACTGGTAGGCTGCAGGAAATTGGAGGCCTACATGCCACAGGACAGGTATCCGCCAGAAAAAAAGAGATGCCGGAAGGTGGTGCATGTTCTGATGGGCATTAGTGTTTGAAAAAGGCTGGGAAACCAAAAGTGGATGAGAGGCCATAGTGGAATTGGAGATGGTGAAATCGTTAGAAAAGGAAGGGGGAGACCTACAGGCACATGTTGGAAGAAAAAGAGGGTCAGGGAGCAAGACAGAGGAAGAGAGATAATGATGAGTGGAGACTACAAAGACGATGAGAGAGCAAAGATGGAGAAAGGGAGAGGGAATGGGATGGGCTACAAGCTGAAAGGGAAAAGGCCACGGAGCAGAAGAGAATGGCACAGGGAACTGGCATGAGTTTAGGCAAAGCGAGTTTTAAGGCAAAAAGCACACCAAGGCTCCTTCTGAGCCAAAGCAAGCAGAGGACGAGAATCGCCATTGCTATGCACAGCTTTACGGGCAGCGTTCAAAACCAGGCAGAGAATTCCCGGCTAACAGATTCCCAATGCATGGAAGTGCAAAATTACAATT